CCGCTGGCATCCGGCGCGAGTACACCGCGCCCAACACCCCGAAGCAGAATGCGGTCGTCGAAAGCGCCATTTGGCGAGCTATGAAGGGGGGCCATGCCGCCCGCCGCCACGTCCTCTCCATGGGCCGCTTCGACCTCGCCTCTATCCCCAGTATGGACGCCAACGGACACCGGCTGTGGCTTGCATCGTCGATCTGGGCCTCCGGCTGCTTCAACCGTTCCGCGACGTCGGCCAACCCGGCCTGGATGTCGCCGTTCGAGGCCTTCTTCGGACGCAAACCGCCGCTCAAGGTCGTCCCCTTTTTCCAGGAGGGGATGATGCGCGTGAAGCGCGCCAGCAAGGCGGACGTCCAATCCGTTCGTTGCTTCTACCTGCACGGAGCGCGCAACCACTCCGACACCACTGTCGTACTCCGCGCCGACACCGGCAGGATCTGCCTGTCCAACAACGTCGTGTGGATCAACCGCCGCACCGCCGTGCCGGCGCCGGTACCGGCCAGCGGGGGGGGTTCTTCGGTCACCGCGGCGCCCTCGCCGGCCGCCGCCGCTCCTACAGCCGCTGCCGCACCGCCACCGCCATGGACATCGCGGACGTAAACCCACACCCCGCCCACAGCGACTACCGCTACGCAGCCGCCCGCTTCGCCGCCGCCAGCTTCTCCGTCGTTTCCACTCGACCCATTTTGGACACGTCCATCGCCCCGGATGCCACCGGAAGCGACGAACGCGTGCCCCGCGCCATTTTTTCGTTTGGCAAAGTGAGTAGCCGGGATTCTAGGTAACATAAAGATACACCATTAGACTAGTCAGCGCTGACTGTGTAACTTTATCTTCCAAAAGATATGCTCAGGGTTCATTTGCACCCGGCTGGATCACATTTTTGGGGTTTATGGCTTGAATCTCCGGGGACGGACCCCTCGCCAGGCGCTGACTGAAAAGGACACAATGGTGCTTGGGAAAGTGTGCAGCCGGGATTCGAACCCGTGCGTGGAACTTTTGTCGCCAATTGTTCAACCATTTGCCAAGTCAGCAAAGGAGCTCTACGCATATCTTTTGTAACATAAAGTTACACCATTAGACTAGAGACGCTGACTAGTCTAATGGTGTAACTTTATCTTACATCTAGGTGCACTTTTTTGCGAAGAAAAGTGATCCGGCCGGTATTTGAACTCGTGCGGGTTTTCTGTTGTTCGTTGCTTCTACCTGCACGGAGCGCGCAACCACTCCGACGCCACTGCCGTCGTACTCCGCGCCGACACCGGAAGGATCTGCCTGTCCAACAACGTCGTGTGGATCAACCGCCGCACCGCCGTGCCGGCGCCGGTACCGGCCAGCGGGGGGGGTTCTTCGGTCACCGCGGCGCCCTCGCCGGCCGCCGCCGCTCCTACAGCCGCTGCCGCACCGCCACCGCCATGGACATCGCGGACGTACACCCACACCCCGCCCACAGCGACTACCGCTACGCAGCAGCCGGCTTCGCCGCCGCCAGCTTCTCCGTCGATCTTCACAGGGTCCGGAGCTCCGTCGCCGATCTCCACGGCATCGTCGAGTGCACCGCTGTCCACCGCAGCCACGCCGCCCCGTCCACCGCACGGAAGCGCCGCCGCTCCCGCTCCCCATCACCCGCCGCTTTCACAGCGAGCCGTCAGAGAGTTGGGCGAGAAAGAAACCAGGGTACATGGCCGTACGCGCGGCGACCGAGTGCGCTTCATGGATGAGCAACAGCAACCGCCGTCGCCGTCAGGTGGCGGCACCGCTCTCCAACACCGCCTTGGGCTGCTGTCGATGATGGGCAAGGATGCGCTCGTCTCGTCGCTCGCCACCCGGGAAGCCGTCGATCAAGGACGTCGAGACCTGCCACCGTCCGCCAACATCGCCCCTCCCGCTCCCCCACAGCCGCAAGATACGAGTTTAGCAGGCCATGGGAGCGGGGGGGCCGCAGGAGCTCGGGGGCCGGGGGGCCTGCACATGTTCGCAGCAATGTTCGCCACCCGCGAGGATGTGGAAGCCACTCTTCGTGCCAAGCGCCCTCCTGACAAGACGCCAGACCTTCCTCACTGCCTCGCCAGCGACCTCCGAGTGCCGAAAACGTTCAAGGAGGCCATGCGGTCTCAACATTCAGAGTTGTGGGATGATGCAGTCGGTCGTGAGTTTTTCGGTCTGCTGGATGCAGGTACTTTTAGTCCGGTGTAGCAACCAGTAGAAAACTTCATCAACGCCAAGTGGGTATTCAACTGTAAGGCAGACGAGTACGGATGGCCGACGAAATTCAAGGCACGACTTGTAGCGCGCGGGGACATGCAGAGGGCTTCGATTGATTTTGGAGAATTGTTTGCACCCACCGTGTCCGTGTCTAGTGTGCGTTTGTTGGCAGCATTGGCATGTGAGCAGAACCTTGACTTGTGCCATTTCGATATTCAGCAGGCATTTGTGCAGTCTGAACTTGAAGAGGATGTTTTCATGCGTCTCCCGCAAGGTTGTGGTAGGTTATCTGGACTGATCGTGAAACTATGCAAGAGTCTGTACGGTTTGAAGCAGGCATCACGACAATGGCATGCGCACCTGACGAGGTGTTTGTTACTTTTAGGATTTGTGCAATGTTTGGCGGATGCATGTGTTTTTCGATTGATGGAGGATGGATGTGTGATCATGATCATTGTGGTCCACGTTGATGACATTTTTGCCGTAGGGCAGAAGGAGAGGTGTGACAAGTTTGGCAGTGACCTCAACGAGATGGTCCCCGTGAAAAACCTTGGGGAGTTGAGGTGGTACTCCGCGTGCTTTTACCAGAGAGATCTAGAGAGAGGCCTTTTGAGGATCTCGCAGCAAAGGTTTGCAGAAGAGTTGGCTGCAGAGTACGGCGTTGAGTGGGGGAAGAGTGTGCCCTTGCCTGTGAGCGTGAAGCTCACCGACTTTGACGAAAACGAAGCGTGTGCTGATGTCCCGTTTCGCGAGTTGGTAGGATCTCTGATGTGGTTGGCCACTCAAACCAGGCCGGACATCGCGAATGCAGTACGAGCAGTAGCGCGGTATTGCGCGTCTCCCAAGATGGTGCACTGGAAGGCAGCACTTGGTAATTTAGGGTACGTGCGTAGGACGAGTTGGATGGGGATTAGATTTGAGAGGGGGGTGGTCACTGGCATGAGCATGCAGGTGTTTGTGGATGTCGACTATGCAAGCAAGGCAGCAGACCGTAGGTCGGTCTCAGGAGGACTAGTGATGCGTGGGAGTGGGTGTGTGACTTGGTTTTCGAGGACGTAGAAGTGCGTTACGCTCTCCACAACGGAAGCAGAGTATGTGGCAATTGCCGACGTCTTGAAGGAAGTGCTTTTCTTGAGGCAGGTTTGGCGTTTTATGTTGCCAGATGCAGGTATGCCGTGCATTCCGGTCTTCGAGGATAATAAGGGAGCGATTCAGATTGCGCACAGCCCGATCACGAACTCCAACTCGAAGCACATCGATGTACGGCATCACTTTATCAGGGAACTGGTAGAGAGGAAGGAGATCTCAATTACTCATGTGCCGTCGGAGTTTCAGCATGCAGATTTCTTGACGAAGGCTATCAGCAAGGAATCTTTTGCGTTGCACAGACTTTGTGATCAATTTGCAGTGAAAGAAGTGTTTTGGGATCAAATCGTGTTTTGCCGCGGACACACGTACCCATTCGGCTCGGATCGCAGGGTGCCCGCTCTGAGACCCTGCAGGCACGAGTACTATGACGGCCCTATATTGTGATCCATAGACAATGTGCGGACCCTGTAGGGACCAGGGCTGTTGTACTGTACAGGAAATGGACCCTGCCCGCTCTGAGACCCTGCAGGCACGAGTACTGTGACGGCCCTTTATTGTGATCCATAGACAGTATGCGAACCCTGTAGGGACCAGGGCTGTTGTACTGTACAGGAAATGGACCCTGTCGGGCCTGTTTCGGCCTACCCCGTATAGGGCAGAGGCTTCCTGAATGGTGTGTGAGGGTACACCTTGGTACAAGGTCAGGTAATGAATAAGGTCGAGGAGGCTGCCCCATGTGAAGGTGGCGACCTTTATAATGATGTCGGGGGGTGTACCGTGTACGGCAGGGACCCTGCGAGTCGTCATCTGTTTGGTGCAGAGCGGGTACCACCTTGGTGGAAGGTAATTGTGATAATTTGTTTGCATCAGACACACGTAATCCACACAAGTTCTCGACGTCGGACTTATACCGCACCCACACCAAACGCCCTAGAGGACACGTATTCGTACAACTCGCGACCGGAAAACACTTGTGTATTCTCGCCGTTTATACCAACCACTTGCGCGTTCTCTCGGTCTGGTGTGTCTCACCGAACCAGAAACCGAGTTTTTTACTAGCTTGTGTAAGTAAAAAAAGACGACGCAACGGGTACCCGCACGCGCCGCAAAAAACTCACGAGGATAGTCTAAATCTTCAATCTACGTGCGCCCGGCGCATGAGAAACATACGGCGGCGTCAATAACAGGCGGGGGCGGGAGACACAGATAGATCTATCTTCCGTCCAGGATCTGTTTTTCTT